GAGGCGAAATGAAAACCGTATGAATTTAAAGCCAATGGAAATCCAATTTCCAAGACTGGGAAAACAGAAAGATCTCCACAGAGTGCCACAATGATGCTAATGTGGGCACCAGGCAGGTCTTTCTGGGGAGAGCATCCCAGAAATGGGGGGTAGAGGCCCAATCTCACCCCGATTATTGAGGGGCCCTGGAGCAGCCTTGTTTGAAAACACACCCCCGGAAACCTGGGCTGGGGGGTCCCCATAGCCGTTGCATTTCTGGCCCGTTTATTGATCCATGCAAACAGGCGGCTAATTCATAGGCGAGGAAGGCAGTGTGAGAAACTCAGGGCAAAAAAAATGGGTTTCCCCCCCCTGGTTTTGGATGGAGCCCTTTGTTCCATCCGCCAAAAACCCAAATCTTCATTACGAGGCAGCAAGGTTTAAACAGAGAGGACGCCTAATCTTCTTTTGCAGATGGCCAAGTTTCTTTCTAACGCTGGCTGTTGTTAACTTCCCTTTCTGCTCTGCTGGTAAGGCTGGGCTATCGCTGGGCTATTTAAATCAAGCTTCCTCTTCTGCTTCCTGTTTTAAGAGCAAGGCAGGTGCCTGGGGTGGGGAACCCCACGTTAAGAAGCCCGGCAAAGCCTAAACTAATTTAATTTGTCGGTTCTCCAAACTCAGCCTTCCCTCCCACCCCGCATTTCCTTGCAGCTCAGGGCTGACGTTAATCATAATCCCGCAGCTCTGGATGTTACTGGGATAATATCGTTGGCCATTTTTAACTTTAAACAATGCCGCCCCACAAAAAAAACCCCAAACAAAATCCAGAAAGACATTAAACCTTTTGGAAATGCCATCTCCCCAAGTGGGAAACAGCTGCCAATGGTCCCATTTTTGCTCACTTGGCTGCAAATTGAGACTGGACGATTCCCCCAATCACCTGGGGAAAGTGGTTATAAAGAAATAAAGCCCTGCACCAAGAAACCTAGCATGGAAGGGAGAAAAGTTTGCCAGCAAAATGCTTCATCTTGTTCATTCTAGCTTTCTACCAATGTTTCTCAAACTTGGCAACTTTAAGACATGTGGACTTCAAATCCCAGAAGTCCCCAGCTAGCTTCTGGGAGTTGAAATCCACACATGCTAGCAGAGAATTCTGGGAGTTGAAGTCCACACAGGCTAGCTGGGAGTTCTGGGAGTTGAAGTCCACACATGCTAACTGGGGAATTCTGGGAGTTGAAATCCACATATGCTGGCTAGGGAATTCTGGGAGTTGCATACTTGCATCAAGCTTCAGCATGACATCAACAAGGTTTGTTGTGGGTGCTAAGAATGGCTTTGATGAACATGTACCTGGCTCTTTCTGCCTCGTTCTTGAGTTCATCTCCTAATTGTTTCTTGCAAGCATTAGCAAGGCTCCCTAATTTGTTCAGTAGCCCATCCAGCATTTATTCCAAATATTCTACCTCCAATCAATGCCATTTCAAAAAGCCCAGGGGGGAGAAATGAAAATGCACAGCAAACCTAAGAGTTTTGTTCATCGAAAGCAAAAGAAGTCATTCAAGTCAGAATCCCCCAAACCAGTAATGAATTTTTGCACCTGAAACCATCATCCTCAAAATGCTTTTCTCTTCCCATGACAGTTAACCACGACAAGAATAATAACTGGAAGAAGTGGATAGAATCAGACATCTTGAACAATTGTCTGCCTGCCTGAGGGTAGGACTGATCTTTCGAAAAGGATAAATGAAGAAGAGGTAAGCAATTAAAGTTTTTTTTTCTTTAAGTAGAACGGCAGACAAGAATAAGGAGTCCAAGTTGTGAAAATGAGAAAATGAATTTATGGACTCAACAGTGCAACTGCATTTTTAAAAACAATCAGTCTGGACTTTCTAGGATGGTCCCTTGGGGGCTAGGAAGATATTTCAAATTCTGCTTTTTTTAAAAAAAGACGGATTTCTTAGGAAGGTAATGACTTTACATTTTGTTAAATATGAAAACCCAGCATTTAAAAGCCTTAGCAAGGTGAGAACTAACAATCTGTCGCCTAGCCTAATCCAGTCTGGGGGGCCTTTGGGATTTAAAAAGGCCAACTGTCCTCTGATCATCATCTCTATTTGCCCTGCTGTGAAATGGGGGGGGGATCTTGACCTCTCTTGTAGAGTTGTGAGTTTTACTGGGCTTGGCAGGGGTGATTCTCAAACTCTGTCACTTGGTCTCTTGGTCCCCCAGAGGCTTCCTGTAGTAGACCAGGAGGAAGTTAAGCAGACAAGATGCTGATGGTGCAAAACTCTTCCTCCGCCTCCTCTCTTTCCCACCTATTAAGCCTACTCATTCTGGGTTCACACAACACACTAACCCATCAATAAACCCCAAGCCGTGTCCTGCAAATGCAGAGAGGCCTCTTGGCTCGCCACGGGGCTGGCCAACCCAACCGTGTCCACGTCATGCCCCCGACACACAGTCACTCACATGCCACGGTCGCCGTAGTAGTTGTAAAACTCCATGTGGTTGCAAGCCTGGATCCACCCCACGATCCAGGTCTCTTTTCTGGGCAAAGGAGGCAACAGCACTTGAGCGGAAGCGCGGAAATGTGGGGTGCGGTATCTCAACACCACGCTGGATGACTCGTCGATGTTCGTGGGGACCGGGTCGATGGAAGCCTTGATTTCTAAGACTGTGATGCTCTCCCGAAATCCTTTTGCTTTGCAGCTAACGCTGTGGATACAGCCCATGGCCCAGAGAACCAGCGCAATTGCAAGAAGGCACCAACAGTCTTCTTCATCTGTCAACTCAAAACCGATATCCATAGGATAGAAGACGCATTCTGGTAGAAGACTCCAACAGTGTATAGAGGGGTGTGTAGGCCGGGGTGCTGCTGCGTAAATCGACCCAGCAGAATTTTCTTTGCAGAGAACTCTTGGGGTAGATTTTTCTGTGCAACCGAATGGTTAAACTCGCTGCGTAATCCAACAATCGTTTTCCTTGATTTTTGAAAGACAATTCCAAGCTGGCTTCGTTTCCCTGATCTGTTCGTTACAATCAAACGTCAACTGGCCTTATATTTCCTTTGATATATTTCTTTGGGTTTTTTTTTTCTTGTTTTAATCTTTTAAGCAAGATGAAGACAAGTCTATGCGAAGAATAAATTTGTCTGTTTCATCTCTAGGTTCTAGCTTCTCGGTGACAGTGTCAAGTTTTCACTTCCTGATGGAGAGTCATTCATAACTTCCCCTTGGTGAAGGCAAAAAAGGAGGGGGAAAAAGCATTATTTGATTTTGCTTTTCAAACATCAGCCAGATGAAAGGCCAGATGGGTAGGTTTTGGCATCTTTAACCATTATCTGCCTCCTTTTTTAGCTACCGAAAAACCTTTGGCCAGTTTTAAAAGAACAAGAACCACTCAAAAATAGCTCGGTGAATAGTCACAGTTTTCTGGTCCTGCAGATTTGCCCTGTTTTGCAGTTATAAGGGAAAATCAGAGATGAGTTCAAAGTGGAAATATTAAGAAATATATGTTAGCATGCCTACTTCCTGGTTTAAAGAAGTAACAAACCAGATTTGGGAAACCGTAAAAGCTGCTAAAACGTACGGGACAGAAACGGTCAACGTCCAGTTTTGACTCTCAAAATCTGGCAATACAATGGGTTCTCAAGGTGGCTCAGAATTTGGGGGTTTGCTGTAACAGGCCACTATTTTAGAAAGATGCCGTCTTACTCGGACCAAGCAAGCAAACAAGAGGGTTAAACATATTCTTGACTTCTCTTTACAGTTCTTAAGTTAATAAACCCTGCCTTCCTTCCGTCTTTGTAGATTCTTTAGTCACATCCGCAAAGGGTAAGAATGACAAAAATAGGGGGGCTAAAAGCAAAATTTCCATCTGAAAGCCATTAATTCAGAATTTACCTTACTTCTGATCCAGGATAGAATCTTGCTCGAGTTAGACCCCCTAGTCAAAAGCCTTCACCTACCTTTGGGCAGGAACATTGTAATTATTATTATTATTAATAATAATAATAATAATAGTAATAATGATGGCGATGATGATGCAGTCCACATCCAGTCCCCTTCTTAAAAAGTTTTCCTAGATTCTAAAAGAGGGGCTTTGAAAGAAGCCCTAATCACAGCTGGACAACTCCCCCCCCCAAAAAGCATTTACACGTACATTGGAATTGCTATGCCACACATAATCTTTTTGCACTCAGCACACACACTACCTCCAATCAATGCCA